GGTTTGCTAATGTCCACGCGAGCCCGCGTTTTCCAGATTCCTTAGATTCCTCCGTGGTTCGTTTGAGCTGCCGCTGAGACCCCTTTGCGATTTTTGTTGGGCTCCTTTGAGATTACTTTGAATTTCCAATAGGGTTCCTTTGAGATTCTGCGTGGGCTTCCTTCTGAGATTCCTCTGGGATTCCTTTGGGGGGGTCCTTTCAAGTATAGTTGCTTGCGGTGATTTCATTGTTTGTCATTTTTGATTTACCTTTGATTTCCGATGCGCGTCAGTTTCCCATTGTTCTAGCAAGGCGGGAACCCATTGGCAAGCGTTCGTGCGCATTGGTTCTTCAGGCTGTCGCCTCACGTTGCCGCCAGCTTCGGGCCCGGGGGGGGCAAATTAATTAATTATTTTATTTTATGATTTATGTGCTAACGATATCGCCAGAGGGCGCCGCCCAAAATAATTATTTATTTTGTTTTCTGTGCTAACGATATCGCCGGGGGGGGTACTGTTTGCTTCCCGGGGTTACTGGTGGGCGCGTCGCTGCCACACTCCCGTGGTGCCTTGCACTGCCCTCCTGCCCCTCGTAGGCCCTCTGGCCTCGGCGCCCGCCCACTCCCCGCGCTGGCGCTCCCAGCCCCACGCCGCCCCCCCTCATGGGCGTGGCTCTTTCCTTTCGCCACCGCTCACCGCCCGCGCGCCGGCCAGCGCTTGCCGCGCACAGTGCGCCGCATTGGGCCTGCTGGCGCTCCGCCCTCTCGCCTCCCGCCGCGCCTCGTAGGCCCATGCAGGTCTCTGCGCTGCGGCCCTCGCGTGGCTCGGGCTGCCCTTCCTGCTCCCCCCGTGGTGTGGCACCGATCATCGCCTGTGCCGCTCCCCCTCCTCCTCCTCCTCCTCCTCCTCTTCCTTCTCCTCCTCCTCCTCCTCCTCCTTCTCCTCCTCTCCCCCTCCTCCTCCTCCTCCTCCTCCTCCTCCTCCTCCTCCTCCTCCTCCTCCTCCTCCTCCTCCTCCTCCGTAACCATTTTGGCTCAAGATGATGGTGCCTGCGGCGTCCTTCATGGATACCGCTAGTCCGCGGCTAGTCCCCAAGCTTTTGCCGCCACAACCACGGGCGTGCGGCAGCCCACAGCTCATCCTGCTTCTCACCTTGGCACTGCAGGCTGCCATACATATCGGCTCGACCGAGCCCTTCATATCGCTCGTCGAGCCCAGCTCCGAGCACTTCATATCGCCCGTCGAGCCCTGCTCCGAGCACTTCATATCGCCCGTCGAGCCCAGCTCCGAGCACATCATATCCGACGCCAAGCTGTTCTCCGCGTCCCAGGCCTCTGCCGTCGAGCCCAACACCGAGCACGCCATCCTCGCCGTGAACGTTGCCCGTCTCGAGTTCTGCCGCCAGCATCTTCGCCAACCACGTATTGGCACCGCAGCCGCCCTGGACATTGGACAGCTGTACAACAGTCGCTCATTGGACTTGCCCTACCATGCGCCACAATGTCGTCAAGCAGTGATGAGAGATCGACGTCCCGCAGCGCTCCGACACGCAGAAGGAAAGAACGTCGCCGTGGACGCCAAGACAAAGATCGAGATGACAAATGTTCCCGTGCCTCAGCTGCCAAGGTCACACTCGACGTCATGGGAGAATCTGGCGTCGCATCGCAACTCGTACGTGCGTCAGGGAGAGCCTCGGCGCCACCTTCACGTCCAGGCCGCTCGTCTGCGCGCCCGTCTACTCCGCCAACGTTTGCGATGGATGCCGACGACCTTCTACACCACGGTGATGTCGCTTGCCACGCAGCGGCTGCCCCCGTTCAAGCTCGCGATGGACAAGGGAATGCTCCGCCCTCCCAACCTCTTGCAGTCGAGGCTGCTCCAGCCGCTGGAGGACACCTACATGCAGACCCACTGGCAGGAGATCGCGACCCTTGGCGTGGCCAACACGCCCCTGGACGCCCGTCCGCCGTCGGAACCGCCGCCGTCCCTCATGGTTGGGACATGCCAGCTTCAGTCGAAGCTGCTGGAGGTACTGCCACGCCTGGATCGACCCCAAGCGTCCCAGACTTGCCTCCTGATGTCGAAGCTGCTCTTCAACAAATCATGCAGACTCAAGTCGAACACGCTGCCGCCACCTTCCAAGCCCAGGCCAACGCTCTTCTCAACGAATCACGTGAAAGCTTTCGCCAAATTTTCGCACAACAAGTCATTGCTACCGAACGCCGAGTGGATGTTCTACATGATGCCGTCGCACGTACCCGCCGTGAACAAGACCGCCAAGCCGACGAGCAGAAAAAGATGTGGCAGCAGATCGGCCAGATGCGTGACGCGCTCGCGCTCGCTGAAGCTCAGGCGCCCATCACGGGCCTCACCAAGCTTGCGGACTGGGACCGCGCCCCCGACCCGACCATCTTCTCCATCG